TGTGTATATTGGTGATTTGGATTCATTTAAAAGATCTTGTCTCTGAGCCAAGAAATTCTCCTCCCAGGAGGCCAGGGCATGACTGGTTCACTGGGTCTCATTCCAGAAATATTCAAACCAATGCACATATACACATACATACGCTTATACATTCTCTTCTTCTTCTATGTAAATCATAGCACTCTGGGCACACTGCTCTCTGCCTTGTACAATTCTAGGGTTTGTTCTATTCTGATATACAGAGTTTTTCATTCTCTTTGAAGGCCGCTGAGTTTTCCGCTGTATGACATAATTGCTTTCACAACCCCCTCCTCCACTGGATGAAATATTTGGGATGTTTCTTTATCTTTCTGTAACCAGCAGGCTTCAATAAACAACCTTGTATATTCACCATTTTGTGCATGTACGTTGTCTATAGGACAAATTCCCAAAGTGAAATTACTGGGTCAAAGAGTATATGCATTTAATATCTTGATCAACGTCATCAAAATAGTAGACTGGCTGATGGCACCGTTATCTATCCTGGAAATGGTAACGGATTTCGACCTGGGGGCTGCAGGTGGCCTTGGAGGGACTGTGAGTCCCCACATTTGTAGATAAAGTCACGGATGTATGCAGGCACGTTTTTCTAGGTGACCAAAGCTTTCATCACCTCCTTAGAAGGATCTGTGCCCCCTCAATGCTCTCTCATCTCCTCGCCGATTGGTGTCCCAGCTCTTCCAGAAGTGAGCCTCCTACCCCTCAGGATCACTGGCCTTGGACTTCCCCTCTCCTGGGTCTTGCTCGGGGAAGAGTCCCTCCCACATCCTCATAGCTAATAACAGGGCCAGTGGTTGCTCAACACTCACCCTGTGCATGAGAGACTCGTCTAATGCTCACAGGAACCAGAAGAGAGGAGTCCTCCCCCACCTCCTCTGATTGATGAACCAGGACATGGGCGCAGAGATGAGTTAAATAACCTGCCCCTTTAGCAGAGCTAGGATTTGAACCCGGAAGCATCAGTACTGCTTGTGCATGAACCGGAGTGGAAGAGCCTGGAAGCCACAGGATGGGCCCTGGGGCTTCTCAGTCTTCACTGCTTCATCTGGGAAAATTTTTAACAACGCAGCCTCTCTCACCAACTCCATCGGAATCTCTGGGGCAACACCCAGACCTTGGGGCTTCCTCAAAGTCCCCGGATGGTCCCAGGAGTAGCAGGACTCAGGGTGTGGCTCTGAGGGTTAAGGCTCAGGAATTTATGTATTTTAGAAGCTCCTTACCCTTATGCCACGCATTTGGCATAATTCTTTTCCTTTATTAAGCATTTTTCAAAATAATAATTATTGGCGGTATAGTGGTGAACATGGCTGCCTTCCAAAACAATAAGCATCCTCCAAAAATGACCAAAGTAGGGCTTTTAAAAGCATCATTTTCAACTCATGGATTTCAACTTGGTTGATACAGTCCAACCCACTGGTGGTGCGGTGGTAAAGAACATGCCTGCCAATGCAAGAGACATGGGTTCGATTCCTGGGTTAGGAAGATCCCCTGGAGAAGGAAATGGCAACCCACTTGAGTATTCTTGCCTGCGGAATCCCATGGACAGAGGAGCCTGGTGCGCTACAGTCCATGAGGTCGCAAAGAGTCTGACAAGACTGAGTGACTAGGCGCAATCCATAGTAGTTATTACATTTATCTGAAGGTCAAATTGCCCCATCTTTAGTCAGCAGCAACCTTCTGAATCCTTCTGACCTAACCCCAAGAGCCTTTGAAAGCATTTTGCTGTCTGCTCTGATGATATGTCATCCTCCCCAGCCCTGACCTGGAATTGGCCATTGCTCCTGACTGCATCTGGGTGCTGTTACCCCAGTTCTCACCCTCTAGCTCTTTAACCAGCTCTCTAAATGTGAGGGGCCTATTCTTCATGTTTCAGAGAAGAATGAGTAATAAATAAACTTACTGTTAAGCTCTACCCTCCCTCAAGTGATCCCTTCCAGTTTCACTTCAACCTTTAGAAAACGCACAGGTGAGTAATCTGTGTTTGTTCTTAAGAAACACACTGCCAAAATAGTACTTGAAATACACTTGCTTGAAATATCTGCCTTTAATACAATCTTCCAAGTTGAAGGCCAGCCCTCAACATCTAAAAATATCTCCAGCTCTTGAGATATCCAAAAATGAGGGTTAAAAGGAGAGAACGATTTAGGTTGCCAAGCAAATTTGGAAAGCTAAATATAAGTTTAGGAAAAAAAGTCAAGACAAATATTCAAAATTGTTTTCCCTGTATTGAATCCAACCGAGGCTGCTTGAGGATAGCAAACTCCACTAGTTTTAAATTCACCTGGAGTTTGGCCGTGGCCTTGGTTCCCTTCTAATGTTCAGAAGATAGAGGGTGTGGAAATAAAAAGCAAATAACATTCCTTTGCATAAAGCTGATTGTGCAACCTTTACACCAAGAAGAAGCGGGGCAATTAGAGTAGATTCTCCCAAATGCTCAGGGGCCCTGCCCTTGGGGCATGATGGTTAGGAGGAGAGGCCCACCGGGGCCCTGCTCTGTGGCCCACGTGGCCTCGGACCTCAGCCCCTCCTTCCATTTCCTTCTCCAGATGCTCCCCACGAGAGCAGCGTCTCACACACTGTGAGAGTGAAGTGCGGACACACGGAAGATGCACGTGTGGTAGTGTCTGCCCAGGGTGGTCTCTGATGGCAGGAGCTGGGGTGGGAGATGCTTTGCCAGCGCTGAGGGGCCTGGTAGGGGTGAGGCAGGGAAGCTGGCAGCAAGAGGCAGCAGGTATCAAGTGGCAGCTCTCTATAGAGAGCCCACGGGAGTTTGAATTCCTGTACAGACGAAATGAGGCCATCTGAACAAATGCATTTTATTTATATATTTGTTTTTGTGCTGGGTCTTCACTGCTGTGTGAGGGCTTCCTCTAGTTTCAATAAGTGGGGGCTACACTTGTTGTGGAGTGTGGGCTCTAAAGATGGGGCTCAGTTGTTGTGGCACACACTCATGTGGGTGGGATCTTCCTGGACCAGGGTGGAACCCATGTGCCCTGAATATCCAGTTGGATTCGTAACCACTGGACCACCAGTGGTGAATACATCTCTGTGAATGCACTTTATAACCTTAAAGCCCCTAGTGAACGAGAGGTAGTGGTGGTGGGTTTATCATTGTGGTGGTTTAGTTGCTAAGTTGTGTCTGACTCTTTGCAACCCCATGGACTATAGTCCACTAGGCTTCTGTGTCCATGGAATTCTCCAGGCAAGAATACTGGGGTTTCCATTTCCTTCTCCAGGGCAGTCTTCCCACCCATGGAATGAACCTGGGTCTCCTGCATCAGGTGGACTCTTTACCAACAGGCAAGCCCATGGGTTTATCATTGAGTCATTCCAAAGAATGCTCTTTGACACCCTCCCTACCTGCTTTTCTCCAGGCGCTGGGCTGGGCACCAGGAATACATCGGTGAGTGGCACAGACCATTCTCTGCCCTCAGAGGTCTCATGTGAGTGTAAAATTTTATAGGTTGCACAGTCACTAAGTCCTGAATGCAATTGCCGCTAACAACCAGCACTGTTTGGGTGCTGGCAGTGGGCCAGCATCTTCAGGCGTTTCTCATGCCTTGGTGGGGCAGGTGCCCCCAAGCCATGCCCGGCACCTCCCTCAGCGTCAGCCACTGGTCACTGTAATCAACACGCAAGAGCCCGGCTCAGGAGGACAGCAGCTCTTGCTCCTCCACTCTTCCTGCTTGGAACGAGGTGGCCCCGGCTCGCTCATGGGCAGTCCCGCGTCCAGCCTAGGACTTCCACAGTTCACCTGGAGATTGTTTGTTGAGGCCTTGGGCAATGTGCTGTCAGAGGCAGCCAGGCTTCCGGGGATGTTCCCAACCTGCAAGAGGTTAAGAAGCTCTGCCTCATGGTAGACTCGCTGGTCTCTTCTGGCTTCTCCTCCTGTTGCCTTTCTCTTCGGAAGAGCCTGAGAGCTCTCCATAAATTCAAAAGCGCTTCTACCTCCAGGACAACAGCAGTGGGAGCCCCATAAGGGATGGAGTGACTTATTTCTGTCTGAAAGTGAAAGTGTTAGTCACTCAGTTGAGTCCCACTCTTTTGCAACCCATGGACTGTAGCATGCAGGCTCCTCTGTCCATGAGATTTCCCAGGCAAGAACACTGGAGTAGTTAGTTATTCCCTTTTCTAGGGAATCTTCCTGACCCAGGGATCAAACCCGGGTCTCCTGCATTACAGGCAGATTCTTTACCATCTGAGACACCTGGGAAGCCCACATCTGTGTCTCTGTATCATTTATTCCTAAGATGAGAGCTGCTAGTCCCAGGACCTGAAAGTTGTGTATCTTTCATCCGAGTTAGACAGAAGTAAGTGGAGACTTTGTACAAAAAGTATCTAAGAGAATTGTTTAGAACTGAGCTAAGCCTACCGTCTAAAAAAGTATCTAAGAGAATTGTTTAGAACTGAGCTAAGCCTACCGTCTTAATCACAATCAAGCTTCAACAAATACAGGAGGGAAAAGGTAAATAGGAATGAACATTAACAGAAGCCACAAACTACAGAACCAGGCTCTCAAGACCAAGACAATGGGATCATCAGATATTGAATATAAAATGAATACCAAGCATATTTAATAAAAAGGTATCCATACCTCAACACATTGTGTCACCATTGCACAAACTGTAGAAGACCAAAAACGAAAGTGAAAGTGCTAGTCGCTCAGTCCTGTCCCACTCTTAGTGACCCCGTGGGCTGTAGCCCACCAGGCTCCTCTGTCCATAGGATTCTCCAGGCAAGAATACTGGAGTGGTAGCCACTCCATTCTCCAAGGGATCATCCCGATCCAGGAATCAACCCCCGGTCTCCCAAACTGCAGGCAGATTCTTTACCATCTAAGCCACCAGGGAAGGCCCTGAAGAGTGCTTAACCAAAGCCAGAGGAGGACAGAGATGGGAAATGTGCAAAGCACATCACACTCAACACCAGCCAATGAAGCCCCTCTGTGTTTTCTCTTACAGATATTTGGGGTCTGGGTCTGGATCCTGGTGGCAGCCACGCAGGTAGCAAGCCCACTGCTACAAGGATGGGTGATGTACGTCTCGCTCACCTCTTTCCTCATCTCCCTGATGCTCCTGTTGTCTTACGTGTTTGGATTTTACAAAAGATATGAGTCCTGGAAAATTCTGGTAAGAATCAGGGAGAGAGACCCAGAGCATGAGGCTCCTCCAAGACCATTGTCCTGGGCGTGAGGACAAACACGGGTGGGGGGAGGAAGCCTCCTGGGTGGGAGGAGGAACCAGAGACGCTTCCCGGGCTGGGCCCCTGGGGAATCTCAACATTTTATCTGAATATGTCTACTATCAGATCATGATGCTGGGAAAGACTGGGGTCTGGAGAAGAAGGGGGCAACAGAGGATGAGACAGTAGGATGGCATCATCGACTCAGTGTGTTGTGGCCACGCGTTCCGGGAAACAAACTCACTCAGAAGGGCAATGCCGATAGTGGAGTGCAGTTTATTACACTGGCGGGCCCAAGGGGGAGTCTCCTCTTAGCCAAGGACCCCGACCAGTTTTTGTGAAAACATTATATACCCTAAGTGTACATGGTCAAACCCACCTCACCAAATTTCCTGAAACTAGTCTGGACAAGGTAAAAGAGAGATACTATCAAAGTTAACCCATGATTCACGTGTCATAAGCCTAGATAGTTCAACAGTGGACATTTATCAGTAGGCCTGTGGTGATATCCCATAAGCATAATGGGATTTATGACTTTGTTCTGTTACAGAGATAATTAGCACACTCTTTTAGGTGACAGAGAGTCTAGGTGCAAGTCCTGAGGCTCCTTCATCCGGGGGGCCTGGTTTTCCATTGGTATGTCATTTCCATAGATACTGGGCATATAGCTCAAAGTCCACAGTCCGGCTCAAGATGGAGTCCTGCTTTCAAGATGAAGCCTGTTCTGTCTGTTTCCTCCTTCAAATGGACATGAGTTTGAGCAAACTCCAAGTGACAGTGAGGTACAGAGGAGCCTGGCATGCTGCAGTCCAAGGAGTCAGACATGAGTTAGCAGCTGAACAACAACTATTAGATAGGGCTTCCTAGGCGGCGCAGTAGTAAAAAATCCATCTGCCAATGCAGGACACGCAGGAAACATGGGTTTGATCCCTGGGTTGAGAAGATCCCCTGGAGGAAGAAATGGCAACCCACTCCAGGATTCCTGCCTGGGAAATCCCATGGACAGAGGAGCCTGGTGTACAGTCCATGGGGTCGCAGAGTTAGACACGACTTATCTACTAAACAACAACAACTATTAGATGGGAATAAAAGCCTTCCTCTGCTGGAATCCATCCTGCTTTGTACTCCCCTCCACTGCCTCCCTTTATAGGTATATACGCACAGACCAGCTCCTCCTGTAGCAAGCACATCCTGACGCATTTTCCCTCTAATTTTAATTTATGGTAAAATCATTTGAGCAGTATTGAAAGAAATCTATTAGGAAAAGAATAACCCTGATCTCAAGGTCTTACCACAGTCACCTATCACAATTCGTTCTTCCCCATTCCTGACAAATTTTATGCAAAATGTATAAATCTCACTGAAACAATCATTTTAGATGTAGAGTCTTTCATTTATTATTATGCCATCCATTAAATATTTTTCATGTCATCACACCATCCTGATAACCATTGGAAATATTTCTCTATTGAACAATTCAAAACAGAAGTAGGGAGGATTGTATTGATATTATGGATCCTCATGTAACCATAACCCAGATTCCAGCATTTTCAAGACTTTATCACGTTTGCTTCACCTAGCTTTTTTTTCTCCTAAAGAATCTTTAAGTAAATCCCAAACACCATGTCATTCCATTCTACACACTTCACTTCAGAATGCCTCCAAAAAATACATAAGCTTTCTTACATTATCAAACTTACATAAAGTTAATGATAATTCCTCGTTATCATCAAAGACACAGGTCACAGTCCTGGAAAATTATAACTGTCCCCCGTTATAACACAGTCACTTCCCTGGTGGCTCAGATGGTAAAAGCATCTGCCTACAATGCTGGAGACCCCGGGTCAGTCCCTGGGTCGGGAAGATTCCCTGGAGAAGGAAATGGCAACACACTCCAGTACTCTTGCCTGGGAAAAATCCCATGGATGGAGGAGCCTGGTGGGCTACAGTCCATGGGGTCGCAAAGAGTCAGATACGACTGAGTGACTTCACTTTCTTTCCCATTATAGCTGAAATATGTTTTTGCAGTTTGAATTGGGGTCCTCACCAGGCCCACTTGCACTTGGTAGTGATGCTTCTTGAGTACCTTTAATCTACTTTTCAATAGGTGGTTGCGAACCATGAAAGACACCGGGATTCTTGGCCTCCAGAGGAGAAGAATTCAACCCGAGGCCAGTGATGAGGCTTGATCGCTCAGAACTTTAGTGTAATAAAGCTTTACTAAAGTATAAAAGAGATAGAGCAAGCTTCTGACATAGACATCAGAAGGGGGCAGAAAGATTGCCCCCCGCCAGCCTTTAAGTGGTGTGTTATATATCTATCAGCAAGCTGTTAATTAGAGAAAGGAAATGTCTCAAAACTCTGAGACTGGCGCCAGGTCCCTCACCCACAACATGCATTTTGAGATAACATTGGCACAGGCCATAAAATGATTGACATGAATCTTGAAGAAAGGCAGGTTTCCAAGCAAAAACACTCATTACCATAGCTTAAGAGAACATTTGCATGAGTAAAACATACTGGTTTGTCATGTAGGTTCTGAGTCTTAGGAGGAACCAACCTGAAGACAGAGTCTAGAGTAAATACATAGTTCATTAACACAGCTTAAGACAAATATTTCCATGAGAAAAACGCATTGGTTAGCTCAAGGTTTGAGAAAAGTTAAGTTCAGGTGGAGCCAGGTGTCTTCATGGCAGCAAAGAATTTTAAGAGAGACCTCTTTTTAAATTTGTATAGAGAAGGGGGAGAAAATCTAACACTTGTTTGTGTCCTCCTGCCTAAGAGAGAGATAAAAACTGTCTGACACTTGCAGCCTATTTTCTCCATTTGGAGACTCCTGGCCTTCCTTCCTTCCTTCCTACCTTCTCACTATCATGGTTTTACTTGCCGGAGACTTGCTGAAAAAACTGGGTGGTCAGCTGTCCCATAGACCAGGGGTTTTCCAGGATCTGATGTCTGATGATCTGAGGTGGAGCTGATATAATAATAATAGAAATAAAGTGCACAATAAATGTAATGCACTTGAATTATCCTGAAACCAACCCCCCACCTACGGTCCATGAATAGAAATTGTCTTCCACAAAACCGGTCCCTGGTGCTGAAAAGGCTGGGCACCACTGCTGTAGAAGGTCCTGCATTTTGGTTTGTTTGCGTCTTCCTGGTGTGACTTGACTCACTCCTCTAATCCCTGAATTTTCTGTAAGCCAGAAATTAGCACCTAAAGGCTAAACTGAAATGGGTTAAACTTTTCTGGCAAGGATGCTTCTTAAGTGTCTTCAAGTCACATCACACATGGTGACTGGTAGTCCTGCTTTCACCCTGACAACCTTACCCCATCACTCTTTTCTCTAATGTCCTCTTTCATCTTCTGATGAATATTCTTTAGGGGTTGCAAAATGCCAATTTGCCTATTACGACATTCCTTCCAGAATACTTTGGTATTCTTAAGATGTTAAAGAACACCAGATTAGCCCAACTCTGCCATGTGTCAGCCTAGCCTCGATTTTCTCATCTGTAAAGTGGGCATGTTAATAGTAGCTGCCTTATGAAACTGGCTGTGAAGATGAAACGACACAAGTGTATGCAGTCAGGAAAGCACCTAGCGAACAGCAGCCTTTGTAGCGCTAACAGCTGGGAGCAAAAGCTTGGTGTTAATGTGGCTTGGTTTCAAATCCTGGCTCAGCCTGTGGTCACTGACTTTAACCTTGGACTTCTATTTCCTCAAAATGGCAGTAACGATAAATAGAACTGACCTCATAGTTCACAAGGTTAAATGAGATACATGAAGAAAAGATTTAGCCTATAGTTTGACCAGGAAGAAGCACTCAATAAATCTTGGTTCATACTGGTATTGCCATTTATTAGTCCGCCATTGCTCATTACACAGCAATTCCCCTAGAAACACTGTGAAAGAAAAAAGCAGGAGTTTCGGGAGCAGGCTTGTCTCTTCCGCCCCCTCTGCCCAGAGGCTGAGTCAGAGGGGTAGGTGGTACCTGCTTGCGTGCCCGTGTGACGGTGGCATGGCCTCTGCTCCATCTTTCCAGGACAGCCTGTATCACGGGACCACAGGCATCCTGTACATGAGTGCCGCCGTGTTACAAGTGCACGCCACCATCATGTCAGAGACCCAGGACCTGAAAAACTACTATATAAACACCGCGGCCTCGGTGAGTGCTGGACGGGAGCGCGGCAGGCGCCACCCGGAGGGAAAGCCAGGGGCTCAGCTCCGTCTCCTCCGGAACAGACAGCTCTGCGTCCTCAGACCGGAGCAGCCTTGCGGGATGGGAGGGGTGTGCGTGTGCGTGTGCGTGTGTGAGAGCATGCCCGCATGCAGATGGTCTGGCAGTCAGGTGTGCCCAAGCTCACAGGGTGCCAAGCCCACGTTTAGAGCCGTCTGTCCTCCTCGTGGTTCAGACGGTGAAGAATCTGCCTTCAATGCAGGGAGACCGGGGTTCAATCCCTGGGTCGGGAAGATCCCCTGGAGGGCATGTCTATCCACCCCAGTACTCTTCCCTGGAGAATTCCAGGACAGAGGAGCCTGGCAGTCCATGGGGTTGCAAAGAGTTGGACATGACCGAGTGACTAACGATTCACTCACACCTACTACACTGCCCTCAGAATACGTTTTTCCAAAACATAAATTTTCCAAAAAGCACATCTCTTACTGAAAATCCTTAGGACTTCCCTGGCAATCCAGTAGTTAAGACTTCACCTTCCAAGGCAGGGGCTGTGGGTTCAATCCCTGGTCGGGGAGCTAAGACCATGCCTCATGGCCCCAAAACCAGAACATAAACAATAGAAGCAATATTGTAACAAATTAAAGATTTTTCAAAATGGTCCACATAAAAAATTTATTTTAAAAAAATGAAGAAAGAAAATCCTTCAGTGGCCCCCTTTGCTGCTAGGCTGGAGCTCAGCTCCTCATCACGGCTCAAGTTCTGGCATCCTTCTATTTCAGCGACAGACATCCACGGGGTTACACATTGGCTGATGGAGTCCAAGGCAAGGTGGTCCAGAGAGTCGTGGGCGGAGCTCACTGCCTGCCGCCGGAGTCTTTCCAGGCCCCGAGTGTGGCCGCGTCCCTCTCTTGGGGGGATGGCGCCCTCAGGTGGCAGGTGACCACATGGCAGGTGGTGGGTTCCTCCAGTGTGTGTGTGCATGCAAGTGCTCCTAACCCTCCTTATTCCTTCTCAGGAAGATCTAACGCCCAGGCTGGGTCCCAGCCCATCAGCTCCAGTCTCTGTGGCCAGAAAAGTCCTGTGTCAGTCGGGCTCCCCAGGGATCGGGCAGCAGTAGGAGGGTGTGTGATATGGGGTGCTGGCCCCCTTGTCAGAAAGATACCAGGCCGACGCGGTGAGCTTGCAGGATGCCTTTCCTGCCTGTCTGCCTCCTTGCCCCCCAGCCCAGCACCACGCTGCCTCCCACCACCCGGAGTGCTGCTCGTCCTGCTAGGGGCCCCTGTCACACCAGCCTCCTTGCTGTCCCTGGACCCCCTCACTTCGGCCTTGGCTCCTGGCTCCCTCACCTCCTCTGTTCTTTTCTCACTTGTCAGCTCCTGGCGACGCTGCCACTCAGCCCCACTCAGAGTAGTAGCTCCTACTTCTCTCCTGGGTTATCTTGGGTCCTTTCTGCATGTGCCACTAAAATGCAAGTTCCATGAGGATAGGAATTTTTAAATTTTTGTTCACCATTAGATCCATGGTTGTACTTGAAGCATGCATGCTCACGCTAAGTCACTTCAGTCTTGTTTGACTCTTTGCGACCCCATGGACCCTAGCCCGCCAGGCTCCTCTGTCCATGGGATTCTCCTGGCAAGAACACTGGGGTGGGCTCCTATGCCCTCCTCCAGGGGATCTTCCCAACCCAGGAACTAAACTTGCGTCTTCTGCTTCTCTTGCGTCTCCTGCATTGCAGGCAGATTCTTTACCACTGAGCCACCGAGGAAACCCATAGCAGGTGCTTACAAGATATGTGTTGAACGAATGAATGAAACAGAGTGTGATTGGACAGGGTGGGGCAAAGGGGGGATGGGGTCCTCCGCTGGACCGAGAGATCACCAGACAGTGCAGCCAGGTATCTTCGGGAACAGCTTTGGACATGGCCGTGGAGGAGGGAGGGGTCGGGGGAAGCACAGGTTTTGGGCTTGGGCAGCTTGTCGAGATGAGGATCCTGGGATCAGCTGGGCTGGTGAGGGCATCTCAGGAGTTCAATTTGCCCACAGAGAGCTTGTGGGCCTCTGAGCCTCTGAAGACCTAAGAGGTGGGTGCGTAGAGTTGAGTTCTGGACCTGTGAGTGAAACTGTCATTTGAGCAGACTATGGCTGAAGGTGGAGGAGGGGGAGAGTGCCCAGAACGAGGCGAGGGCACCCAGGGCAGGCATGGGGACGGGCCCACTTTATGGCAGGTAGAGGAGTCCAGGTCTGCAGGTGACACGGTGGGACAAGGGGTGGGGTGCTTCACGGAGGCTGGAGGGGCTGCCCCGTGGTTGCTGCCCTCAGGCCAGATGGCACTTAGGTAGGCAGCGGATGAAGCATGGTCAAAACAAGGGCCATCCAGGCTGCCGTGGGCCTGTGTGGGGCTGGGAGGGGGTAGTGATTGCCAGCATCTCTAAGGCAGTAACTCCCCGGCTTTTCCAGTTCTTTGCCTTCATCACCACCCTGCTCTACATCCTGCATGCCTTCAGCATCTATTACCACTGAAGAAGCAGGGGACCAGGCGATGTGGAAGATGCTTTTTCAAAACCAGGAGTGTCAGCTTCCAAAAGTGGTTTTCAACCTTCGCCATCTGGATGATAAACAGCTCACCAACGATGACATCACGGGATCCACAGACCATCTTTTCAGACTGAACGATGAAATCACACGCTGGCAGATCTGTTTGGACATTTTAATTCATTGTGATGAATATGAAAAGGCTGGTGGGGGGGGGGGGAGGACTTTGTTGTTGTTTCATTTTGTTTTGTTTCGCCCAGGGAAAGTAATTGTCTCTTGGGATTTTCTGACAGTGACCCTCGCTCTTCTAGAAAACTAACATCTTATGCGGAAAATTCCAGGTCTACCATCATCTTGCCTGTTTGGGGATCTGCCTCGGCAACGAGCTCTCCCACAGCTGACTGATGAGAACCTTCATTATTTTCTTAAAATCAAAATGGTGCTGTGAAAGCCTTCAGTTCTGAAGAACCACAGACCTTGCTCCTGCCCCGGGATCCTGCCTCTTTCTTGCAGCGGCGGTACAAACCAGCTGCCCCCTCCCACACTGCCTGACTCCAATTCGTGTCCACTTCCTCTTTCCTCTACAGTTTTAGGAGCCAAGGGAAATCTGAGGGTAGATTTGTGGGGAAAATAAGGGCCTGACTACAAAATTGTTATATAGCAAGACCTGGGAGGAGAGGAGGGGTCGGACAGGGAAGGCTGTAATCCATTTTTCCGATTCTCGGTAAGTCAGGCTGCTCAGAGAACTTCAGGGCTGCAGGATGCCTGGGTCAGGCCTCCAGACCCCCCTCCCTGTCCCTCAGAAAAGACCATCAAGAAAGCAAGAAGGACATTATGTGCCAGGATTCTTCTCTGGGCTCCGGTCACACGGAGGATATCAAGGAGGCTGGAAAGGACCCCATCCATGGGTCCCTGCTCTTTCTCAAGCCTCCTCCCCACAGTGGTCCGGCTGGGTGGGGCCTGGACCGTCCAGCCAGCCTCCTGCAGTGAAGGGCTTCCAGGGGCCTGGGGCACGGGCATTCTCCGAGGAAAGGCACAGAGAAGTGCTGGATACCCAACTAAATTGTTTTCCAAGGCAGGCTGTGCCGTCTGGTGTTTCCGGCCCCGTGCTGGGGTCCAGGCGTTTGTCTGGCTCAGACTCTGAGGAGAGCCAGGGCTCAGCCCCCCAACTGCATGGACCTGCTGCCAGTCGGAAATGCAATAAGTTATTATGTGGGAGTGACTTGTCTGAGCCAGTGTGAGGGCTTACAGTTTTGGATTGACTTTTTTCTGCTTCTGGGGGAGAGAGGGTCAGGAAGACGGGGAGATCACCAGAGAGAAAATTGACTTCATGCCTTGATGGCTCACCTTCTAATCACCCCGTAGCTTGAAAAGCCACTGTTCATCTGTGACTTTCCAGCTTGTCATCTGCCTGGGATATTCAGTATTTCCTGAGCAGTCACATCCAAATAAAAGTGGCTTCTACAGTGAAACGCCTGGAGCTCATCTCTTTTGTGGCCTCACCACTGGGGCTGGCCACCATGGCACAGGTCCCAACAGTTATACCAAGACCCCACAGCTCCAACCCGTGGAGGGGCCCCAGGCCCAGCCCACCCAGCCTTGCTTCAGGGGCAGCTGCCCCGAGACACCACATCTGGCTCCAGCGCTTGGGTCTGTGGCATAATTTCCACTTCAGTAAGAATGGTTTCCCTGGTGACTCAGGGGTAAAGAACCCGTCTGCCAGTGCAGGAGACTCAGGTTCTATCCCCGGGTCAGGAAGATCCCCTGGAGGAAGGCAGGGCAGCCCACTCCAGTATTCTTGCCTGGGAAATCCCACGGACAGAGGAGCCTGGTGGGCTAGGGTCCATGGTGTTGCAAAGAGTCGGACACTAGTGAGCACACACACACAGGTGGGTTAAGGTGTAACTATGAGGAAGTGGGGTGACTTATGCAAGACTTAGATACGTCCAGAGGTGTTATGTCAAGGTGCTGATAGGTTAAGAGGAGTTATACCGAGATGTACCTGTGCTCGGGTGTGCTCATGGCGTTATTGCAAGGTGCAGGTCAGCTCTGGGGCACCTGTATATGCAGTGGCAGCAACAGGATGGAGCCTGTGATCCCTGAAAGTGGGATCATTAAAGACTTGTGTCATCCAACTTGGCAGGAACACGCCAGGGCCCCCTTGAGCTAAGGTCCTTTTCTTCGGCAACCATAGGAGATGACCCCACCACCATTAAGGCTGTGAAATTGTTTCTCTTTTCAGTGTTAAGACGCCTTTTGCCGTGCGGTGGGTTAGTCACTCAGTCGTGTCCCTCTCTTGCAGCCTCATGGACTGCGGCCCACCAGGCTCCTCTGTCCATGGGATTTCCCAGGCAAGAACACTGGAGTGGGTTGCCGTTCCCTTTTCCAGGGGATCTTCCCCAGCCACAATCGAACCCGGAAGCCGGAGACGCCCTTTGAGAGAAAATGATTAAGGAGCCAGCTCGAGGTGGGAACTGAGAGGTCGGTGCAGTTACCCACCCTCTCCACTGGGCGGCGCGCGGGCTCCACCCCGCGCGAAACAGCGGGCCTTCCCGGCGGTGCGAGGTGGTCAGGGCGGAGGCGGCAGAAATCCCGGGCCGACCCCAGTGGCCTCCTCGGGGATTTTGCCAGAGCAGGCTGCCCCTGCCGCAGGGGAGACAGGATGTTCTCTGCCCCTGGAGCTTTACCCGCTGTCTCACTCGTGGAGGAAGAGGCCCGGGGCCCTGCCTTGGCACGGTTTGCCTGTTGGGTTGAGGCTGAAGGTGAGGGGGTGGGTGTGACACGAAGGACCTCTCGGTCCATCCACCATCGCTGTGGCCGGGTGATGGCTGGACCCGAGCCAGGGGAAAGGCCTGCTCCGCCTGAAGGGGAGCGGGGGCGAGAGGAGGGACTTCTGTCTGATATCCTTGCAGCCATCACTACCCACTGTACCCTCTGTGCCTGGCCGTGTTCGCCGGGACACGCACACCCCGGGGCCCTGGAGTGATGCGCCTGTGCTGGGGAGGGGCACGCGCTGGGCCGAGCTGACCCAAGGCTGCTCCCAGGGACCACTGGGGGTGGGGTGGGGTGCAGAGCGTGGGGGGTCCCAGGCTAAGGCACAGTGTTAACACCCAACCTTTCCTTTCATCAGCTTCTGCCTATCAGGTATATGCCCAGGTTTCCAGAAGCTTTCAGGGGCACCCCGACCCTGACCACCCAGCTCCCCAGCTCCCTCCAGCACCCCAAACCTTTATGTAGGGGTTTTGGGCCCCAGTGAGTTTGATCCTTGGGTCGTGAAGATCCCCTGGAGAAGGAAATGATAACCCACTCCAGTATTCTTGCCTGGAAAATGCCATGGACAGAGGAGCCTGGTGAGCTACAGTCCATGGGGTTGAAAAGGAGTCAGACACAACTCAGTGACTAACACACACACACCTGCTATGTAGCCCCACCTTTGTTGAAATTCTACAGCTGGATCCGAAGAGGGGCCCCCAGAGTACATAACACCTAACAACCCTGGGCGTCTGCCTGCTCCCTGGGCCTTGGCCTGCTTCTCTGTGGCAAAGATGCCCTGGAAGACCCTCTGGGGTCACTGCTTCCTCCTAAAGAGACAGGGAAGGCAGAGGAGAAAATCGAGGAGGGAGACCCCAGGCCACTTTGTGCCTGGAAGGCAGATCACGAAGCCCAAGTCAAACCCGGGGGTCCCGTCCGAGCCAGGCTCCTCTGGTGCAGACGCAGCAGACACCGGTGGAAGCGGCAGAGCCTCGGGCCAGGGCGCCTGCCTTCTGCGGGGCAGCCTTCGTGTTTGCCATCAGCGCCTCTCACAGGTTTGGTTCTGTCGCCTGGGTGTCTGCTGAGCCGTCTGCTCTGTGCCTGGGCGGGGCTCTGCGCTCAAGGATTGGGAGAGGGGTGTGTTGGGGAGAGAGGCTCGTGTCTTAGGGCAATGGGGCACTGACCCAAACTGGAAGAAGCAGGGAGGGATTTACAAAAGGCCTCCCAGGAAATGGGACTCCAGGAAGTTATCAGAAGCATCAGCCACCTGCCCTTCCCCTGCCTGGAGTCACAGGCTGGGGGTCTAAAGGGGAGATGCAGCCTTGGGCGGGGAGGGCAGTCGGGATAGGCAACAGTGTAAGGAAGGGCTCTGAGTCCACCAGCGGTCATGGTTCAGGAGCCAAGAGCAGCCGGGCCAGGGGTGGCTGTGATAGCGCCCGGGCTTGCAGATATTAGCTGTGACCTTGATCCTCCTACTGAGATGAGGAGCTGGGGGCAGAGCAGGGGGTTAAGCACGGAGTGCAGATCCCTGGCCCACACTGGCCACCCTCTAGAGAGGCGACCAGAGCATCTTTGGAGACGAGTCTTCATTAAGAATCTGTGTCCTTGAGAATGGAGCTTCCCTAGTGGCTCAGTGGTAAAGAACCCGCCTGCCAACGCGGGAGACTCAGGTTCGAGCTCTGGGTCAGGAAGATCCCCTGGAGGAGGGCATGGCAACCCACTCCAGTGTTCTTGCCTGGGAAATCCTATGGACAGAGGAGCCTGTGGGCTGCAGTCCATGGGGTCGCAGGGTCAGGCACGACTTAGCGACTAAACAACAACATCCTTGGCAGTTCCCTGGCAGTCCGGTGGTTAGGACGTCACACTTTCACTGCCAAGGGCCTGCGTTCAACCTTGGGCAGGGAACTAAGATCCCACAAGCTGCAAGGTGTGACCAAAAAAAAATAATAATAATCTGTATCTTTGAATTTTCCAAAAGCAAAACACTACTACTACCTTGGATTCCCCATCATGGTACAACTACAAGGAGGATCACACTCTTCATATTGGTAATAAATTGGTCGTTCATGTCAGTAATTAAGAATAATGGCCAACACTCTCACAGAAGCTGGTGGACCCAAGCCCTCACATGGCTGCCTTCCCCTTGGCCACGGGGGTGTCAGCTCGTGACACCCGTCAGACCCGACAGGTAATAAGCGCCGCCCTCACTGTAGTGAGTGGGAAGTTCCGTCTTCTGCCCGGGGCTTCCAGGCAAGGGTGAGAATTGCACCAGGGCCACACCACCAAGGCCCCAGGACTCACCCCGACACCGGAGCTCCTAGGTGACTTCAGCTCAGAAGGGGGTTGGGGGTTGCTCCGAATACGGCCCTCTCCCAAGTCCACTTGGAGCCCAAGTCTCCAAGGAGGCTGGGAGGCCTTGGTGCTGTTCCATCACGCGGTAGTATCTGACTCTTTGTGACCCATGCACTATGGCATGCCAGGCATCCCTGTCCTTCACCATCTCCTAGAGTTTGTGCAAATTCATGTCCATTGAGTCAGTGATGCCATCCAACCATCTCGTCCTCTGTTGTCCCCTTCTCCTCCTGCCCTCCATCTTTCCCAGCATCAGGGCCTTTTCTAATGGGTCGGCTCTTCACATCAGGCTCTGATTGGAGGTCACCGGAGATGTGAAGGAGCAGAATGAGAAGAGTTTGAATCTCAGGAAGCAGTGAGTAAGGGCCATCTGTGTTCCCACCAACCCAGGACACTGTCTCAGATGCTCTTAGACAATTTTGGGCACTGGATGCTGAGAGGAATAAGAAATGGCCTCTGCTATTGAGGAACTCACAGACTCTGAGAAACCAGGAAAAGACGCTGAGCAAGGAGCTGGGGGCTTACTCTGAGGAGGGCACCAAGGTGGAAACTTCCCGTGACCAGCATGCTCTGGATCACAGTGAGCTCTGTGACCATTCCAGCCATTTGACCATTGGCCGAGTTTGTCTTTAGCTGGTATCTCTACTGCTGGGGATCTTGGAGTTTCTTAGAAGACCACTAATTTCATGGAAGGTGATTTTGTTTTCTTTTTTTCAGAGGTGATCCACTGGAACTGTAGCTGAATGTGATTTCATTTTTATGCTTCTGTAAAATTTTTTCATCTAAAAGAATGTGCCAAGAAGGAAGAAGTCCACTTTAGTTTTGGAAATTACATCCTGCATAGCTCACACGTACCCACATGTACACACACACACCCCTGCACATATACATGTGTGTGCATGCATGCTCAGTCACTCACCTGTGTCTGGTTCTTTGCGACCCCATGGACTATAGCCTGCTTGGCTCCTCTGTCCATGGAATTTTCCAGGTAGGAATACTGCAGTGAGTTGCCATTTCCTCCTGCAGGGAAACTTCTTGACCCAGGGATCAAACCCACGTCTCTTGTGTCTCCTACATTGGCAGGCAGATTCTTTACCACTGTGCCATCTGGGAAGCCCACAAACTTGCACACAAATACACAGCTGCACACACACACACACACACACATGAGCGCGCACACACCCTCAGCATGGGTTGTTGCCCACAGAGAGATCTTTGAGCTTGAACTTGCACTTGTGGACATCAACTGCCTTTCTTCCTCTGTTCGGCCCCCGAGCAAAGAACAGCTGTCACCCAGGGCTATGCTGTGGGGTCTGGCTGGAACCTGCAGGGGACGCCTGCAGAGGCTGAGGGAAAGCCCGTCCACCTGCAGTGGCCTGTCTTCAAGAGGGAGGGCCCGGGTGGGCCAGGCAAGGGGCAGCGGGCAACCTGGGAGAACATCGAAAAGGACGGTGCGGCCCCCGGCTCAGCCCTGCTCCACACGGCCTTGTTCCCCGGACACGGGCAGTGGCCCCGCCGAGTCAGTCGCCCGACTCGCTGGAATGGAGGTTGGGCCTCGCTCAGGACGCCGAGGGCTCCTGGGTGGTGTGCGTGCGTGCTAAGTGACTCAGTCATGTCCGACTCTTTACAGCCCACCAGCTCCTCTGTCCATGGGGTTCTCCGGGCAAGAATGTTAGAGTGGGCTGCCATGTGCTCCCCCAGGGACCTTCCTGAGCCAGGGATCCAGCTCACGCCTCTTAGGGCTCCTGCGTCGGCAGGCGTGGTCTCTATCACTAGGGCCCCCTGGGAAGCCCCATGGGTGGTAGGAAAACCATGTGACTCTGATTGGGACTTGAACCCACTGTCTTTTAACTGAGATCAGATCGGGACTTAATGAAGCTCAGTTTCTTGATGTCTCATTGCAGAAAGAATTCAGTGAGAGACAAAGTGATAGGTAAGAAGTGGATTTAGAGAGAAACATACTCCACAGACAAAGAGTGGGCCGTCTCCGAAGGTGGGGTGACCAGTTTTTATGGGCTGGGTAATTTCATAGGCTAGTGAGTGGGAGGGTTATTCCAACTACATCAGGAAGGGGTGGGGGTTTCCAGGTACTGGGTCACTGCCCACTTTGTGGCCTCTGATGGCTGGCTTCAGAACTGTGTTGGCACCCAAGGGTGTGTCATTAAGATGGTAATGCATCACAGTGAGCGCATGCTGAAGCTCAAGGTTCACTGCAGTCACGTCTTGGACCTTGTTGTTTGTGCCACACCTTGTGGCTCTGTCATTCTTTAAAGATGTGCCCCACCCGCTTCCCTCCTGGATAAGTGGGAGCGGGGACACAGCCAGCCCACAGCCCACGACCAGTGGGGCCACGGGTCGGCCTGGGTCTGACCAGCGTAGCCACCCCCCACCAGGGCTCATAGAGTTGAGGGGAAGATCGAGAGGCGCAGGACTCCCCGCCCACCGTCCCCACCCCGCCACCTGATCTCAGACGGCCTATGTGAGAAACGGGCTAGGGGCCCTCCCATACATTCCAGAAAGGCAAGAGAGAGCAGGGTGTTGTAGGTTATGTTGTCTATTTGAGATGTTCCTTCTTTCTTGAGTCCAGCCTGTATCACTATAAACTTCCCTCTGTGAATTGCTTTCGCTGAGTTCCATAGGTTTTAGACTTTTTAAAAGT